AGTCCGTGCGCGTTTATTTTTTGTCACTTCCGTTTGCGTCTATAATATATTGTGAGTAAAGTGAAGTGCAAAATCGTGTCGCGATCGTTCGGAGTGTTATTAGTAAAGGGCGAATGTTCATGCTCCAAAAAACTTTAAAGTATGCTGTAAAAATTTTAAAATATGCTTGATAAAACGTCATTGTATGTCTAAAAAAAATGTGAAAATATGCGTAAAAACATCATTATATTCCTAAAAAATGTAAAAATATGCTCAAATACTTTTTGAAAATCAACTGTTAAAAACAAACTTAAAATCAAAATAAAATGGATATAATAATTTAAATAAAAAATGATATATTCGTATTGGTCTTCTCTTATTGTTCTTTAATTTTAAAAATTAAATTATCATTAGTTTTTTTAAATAAATGTAAAATTTACAAAAAATAAAATTTCTAAAACAGTAATTAAAATAGATAATAATTCAATGTTAAATATCAAGTAAAACCTAAAGATATCAAATATGCATTGTTATGCACTAATAAAATATAAATATGCTTTGAAAGAAAACTGGATCGACATTTGCAAATATATTATGTAGCATACAATTTTTGATTTTGTCTTCCATAAACCATAAAAAAAATTCTATTCTACTCTGCGACTTTATCATAAAAGGAAAAAGATATTATGCAAATGCATGAACATCCGCTCTTTAGTTATTACTTTCCATATAATATAATTCTTATTACATTCTCGATACGTATATACGTCAAGTGTCGCGTCACCATCCGTCGAATCGTGCCCGACGTCGATCCATATATATATATATATATATTTATTATATCACTTATATCTATGTTTGGCGATCACCATTGGGGCTGATTATCGGAAACGACCGATACAGCAAATTAGCTGCAGACGAGTTGCTGCCGCCGATAGTATCGATTATCGTCAGATATTGACAAGTCTTATTATCATAGTATTACCTATATTATTATTTTGTGTGTTATTATCATTCCGTACACGTGTGTGAACTGTTGAGAGACGTCTTGGCAATCAAAGAATATTTATATAGACATACTCAATATCAATTAGTATTTAAATATTATACATTTATTTTTACTATATATAAACTGGTATTTGTTCTTACTATATTATAAACCAACCTATATATTATCAGCTAGTGGTCTTCAATCTTTTTGTACTCGCGACTTATTACTTTTTAGGCTTGCATTTTTCGTGACCCACGTAAGTTTTGTAGAAAAACAAAAAATGGTAAAATTGCTTAATGATTTTTTGTAATACTATGATAACTGAATAAATAAAAATTACATAATTTTAGTAGGTAGAATATTTATTTATATTTATATATTTTCATCTATTAAATTAAATTTTTATTTTAAAAAGAAGACTTATCGTATCCCAATTTTAATAAGTTTTCAATTTTTAAAAATATTCACCATTAGATGAGATGCCACAAAATTTTAAGGATAAAAAATAGTAAAAATATATTATATTTTTTTTTTTTTACGGCCAACAGTCACCTGTTGATTTTTTTTTTTGTTAAAAACCTAGTATTACATCTTTTTTAGAGTTAAGTGTTTTTAAACTCGTTTGAAATAAGCTAAAATGTTTGTTGCATTGTCGCTCTACCTTTTTATGTTATTATTTATATGACTTTTAAAAAATTTACTACAAAAGGCCTCGAAAACCCGTTTTTATGAGAACCACATTTGATACGAAATCTAGGTGAAGGAATAAGTTTTGAATTTCAATACTTCATATTCGTCATTAGATTAGGGGCGTCATTTCAGGTTTTTTTTAGGTATGTGAGATTTTAAGTAGTTCATTTTGAAATTTCACTAAACCATATAAAAAAAAAATATACGTATATGTAGGTACATAATCCTGCTTTCAATTTTTATTTCCATACATCGCATGTACCGAATTATTCCATCAATATAAAACACAAATAATTAATTTAAAAACTAAAATATAATCAATGATTTATTAAAAATCATGATAATGAACAGTACCTATACCAACATTGATAAATGTCAAAATTAAAATTAAAATATCATTTAAGATTTAATTTTGAACATTATTTTAAAAGTATATATTTTCATCATTATTTTTATTATTTGAATTAAAATGTATTTCCGATACAAAAACTAACATATTATATTGCTGCAATTGACAACTATATATTTACTGTATAGTGTTAAAATACATGATATTCGTTTCTATGACAGTTAGTTATTACGAATAAAACTTACCTACTTACGTCAAATAACATATTCTCTTCAAGAAGTATTAAGTGTACGTTTATCATAAAAATATATTAACGTAGGTATACTATTAGATCTCGTACAGAATATAATAGTATGTCCGACGTCGAAATTCGATCGCCGTTTGCTACTGCTGGCTCGATGATTTTGTTGGTTTCAGCCAAACGACTTGCAAATGGTCAGTTCGAAAAAAAATGCCACAATTTTTCCGGATCGATCACAAGGCAATATGGATCAATGCCTAATATGCTGTTAGGATAGGTTAGGTTACACACATCTGGTGTGGGTGATGCATTAGAGATCCGAAAACTGGACGTGGCAATGAGCGACTTCATCGGTCCATTCAGAAAACTATGGAATTCAATGCCGAACATGCACTTGGCGTTTGATGCTACCGAAGCGACCGAATTAGAGTGCATTCCGTTGCAATTCTTGGCCAAAATTGATAACGGAACAACATTGCAGGTCTGCGTGCACACTTGTTCAGATCCTGCAATAACCAGATGCAGTGTTGGAACAGAACCTGCGGTAACAGTCGTACTTAAAAAACGCCGTTCGTTGTGGAAAAGGACAAAACAATTTTTCTGTTTCATATTTTGCTGCACAAAAAAATAATATACCTAGTTTATAATGTCCGAACTTATGATTGTGCCTACCTATTTAATATATGAGAATAGCTATTAGTTATTGAAAATAGTATTAATTTACACAATTAAATGTTTTGTTATGTTATTAGATTTGTTTTTATTTGATGTACCTAATATTATTACATAAGGCCAACACGTATATGTGAAAATGTTGACCCTTACCTCTTTAATGACTCTTGTCATAGTATATAAACTTTGTATTTTAACCGTTGTATGGTGCGAGTTATCGAGTCAACTATACCAAGTAAGAGCTGGACAGCGCAAAACAATACTCATCCATGACCGGTATGCGACCGCCATGACCTTAAGATATTATATTATAGATACACACTCGACAATCGTTTTTTGCGGTACTCAATACCCTTCCTTCCGATGCTGTCTATAATAATTATTTGAGTTGAGTTGTAATAATATAGTGCAGCTGTTTTCAACATTTTTTTCGTTCCATATTCCTAAGTTTAATATTTTATTACATTCTATACTCATTATACTCATTCTTATCTATTAGATAAGTTGACAGTTATGTTTTAATTTGTGGCATACATTTTCATTTTTAATAACATATAATGAATATTTTTGAAACGAATTGTTTTAAATAAACAAATTCAACATTTTCCGTCATTAGCCAATTTTTTTTCACGTACCCCTTAAGATCACGTCGCGTATACCTTAGGGGTTGAGAACCGCTGATATAATGAATTAATATCTTTGTATGTAATAAACGCACGCAACTATCAATGATGTAAACTCAAAGCGCTATATTAAAATTTAATTTTTTAACATCATGTACCCACATATCATTGTTTGACATTTTGTAGGTACTATAATCACAATATAATAAGGTACCAAACTACTATTTTATATTTCATAAATGCTTATACACACTTATGGGTTATGTAAATAATTAAAGTAATCATTTTCCCGTTTCATACTTCATCGACAACTATTGTCTAAAACATAAAATTATTAGGTCATTCGCTTTATATTATTTGACTTGACAGTTAATAATACACAATTGATAATTAAATATTACAGTAACTAGACGGAATTTCTAAGAAGTAATAAGTGTTTGAATACGACTTCCAACTGTTTTATATTATAATATTTTATCTATGCAATAATGGTAGATATGATTAAAACAATTTAGTCTCATAACAAAGCAGACAAAAAATATATTAAATATTTCACAAAACTTTACTATTAAAGATTGATAAAATGTATCTAGGGGTTTTTTTTTTTTTTAATATTAAATCCTTTAAAAAATGTTGTGTTTTAAAAAGGTTTTATGTATTGTTACTTGTTAATAAAATCTAGAATAAATTTACCTATAATTAAACTTAAATGTAAAAATATTATCTAGGCTTTAGAACATCTTAAAATGTATACAGACTTCTATTGAAATGTTGATACTTTTATTGATTATTTATATTTAATTATTAATTTGAACTTTTTTTGAAATTAAAATATTAGTAAAAACCTATATAAATGTTTTATAATCCAGATGATATATTCATAAATTTAAGTTTCATTATAGGTAAATTTACTCAAGATGAAAGCTAACAATACAAAATTAGTTCTGTTGAATACATATTTGCTATGTGGCCCATGTGTAAGACAGACAAAATATGCAAGTTCATTATTCTCTTAAAATAAAATAAAACATGTGTTATGAACTTATGAACAAATGTGTAGATATATAGAGAATAATTTTATTATTTCTCTTTTGTTTAATTAGAAACATAAATATAAACATAATTTAACATATTTAAATAATACATATAAATAGGCTCATATTCTAGTTTATGAGTGTATGTCATGTAAATGGGTTATTACTTATTAAATATAATTGGTATAATAATTTAACTTGTTCAATGTTAAGTAATACTTAAGTACAAAACTGATAATTACATAAATAGTATACAAATGTAAAACTAGCAATTCATATGATTGAGTATGTGATATGTTCAATTATTTAAGCAATGCCACAAATAATACAATTGATAAAAACTACATGGCTCTTTAAAATTGCAACAAAAATATTTAAAAATTAAAAATTAACAAATAGTTGCCAGTTTACATAACATTTCAAAAAAGTACAAATGCACAAAAAAGTTAAATTTACAATCTTAAAAGATATAATAATTATTAAATCAATTGTAACTTCTTATAGTAGTAATATAGTACTATAATTCTTCAATTTACAATTTTAACACAATAATGGTTCTAACTGGATTTAGGTCTCAACAATTTCTTAGACGAATGGCCTAGAGTCATAAACTTTTTTAAAGTGCCTTTGCTATGTGAGGAATTTGAGGGCGATTGGGACGGCGACGCAACTTCCTGTTTCTCTTTTTTTGATTTTACCTTTTTGATATTCTTCAATAGTCTTTTGGAAAAGTTTGTTTTGCCTTCCATAACTGTGGTATTTGCTGGCTTGATACATGGCAAGGTTTCATCTACAATAATTTTTTTTCCAATAAGAAATTATTCTACAAACACTATAATCAAATTTTTATAGATGTCTCAAGAGACACAGTGCCAATTTTCTAAATTTTCCACAATTCAATAACATTTAAAAAATATATTAAGTATTTTAGTTTCCACCTTAATTATAACACTTTCTAACTAATCTACTGAGAAAAAATGACAATAGCACATAGCACATTAATCTATTATTTTCATAAATTACAAAAGAAAAAAACAAATTTAAACATTAAAGACATTCACCTTTTTAAGCAATTTTTCTGAAATATTTAAAAAGGAGATACAAAATAAACCTATTTAATTTGATTATTATTTACTATTTCTATAAATAAATAATTATAGTAAATCAAGAAATGAGTTTTGTGACAGTTTAAATTTAAATGGATATCATGATATATTAAATAAATCATACATGTTTAAGAGTCAAAAGATAAATTATGCAATGATACTAAAATAAATATTAAACATTAATTAATTATTAATTTTTTATAAACCTTCATTATTGTGTAAAAGATTTTCTTTATAAAATAAAACTAATGATTTTTGAAATGTATTTTAAAGTCGCAATAGAATATTAATTATGTAATAAATAATAACTTGCGTTTAGTGTCAATAATTATAAACTAACAAGTAATAATTATATTTCGGTTGGGTTAGGACAATGATAAATTTTAAAAGTAACGACACCTAAGTTGTTTGTTTCATTCACATAATAAATAGATAATAATAACAATAATAATATTTAATATATTTTTTTTAAATTACCCTAATTTACATTTATCCCAATTCACGTAGAAATTAATATTAAATTATAACTGCTTTATTTTTGATATTATAATTTGTTGCTATATAGATAATTAGTTAACTCATAATGATAAATATTACATATTAGACTGCATAATAGTTTTAAACATGTAAATCACCTACCATTTTATTTAAAATCAAAATATTTTTAATCATTTATTCATAATTCTTTATTCTAGTTAAGCATAATTTAATTAATCAAAAAATTATATTATATATTTGATGATTGTACTTTAATAATAATTAAAAAAGTAAGTAAATTTCAATTTGAGTTTTGAATGCAACAAAAAGTAACGAACTATATAGCAATTGTTATTTTGGAAAAAAACACAGAAATTATTAAATATAAAACAAATATTTTTAAAAGCTAATAGTAACCAGGTGTTATAGTTTAGAAATAGAATAATAATTTTCAAGCTATTAAAGTGTGATATAAAGTAGCAAAAATATTAAAAATGTAACAACTATATAGTAATGACTAAATATCATACATAAGCATACATCTTTAATGGTAATTAGCATAATATTATACAAAAATTAATTATTTCTGTCTCTCCAGCAGATAATACAGAAAAACTTTAAATACTATCATATTTCCATTACAATATATATTAGATTACAATAATATTACTTAATATTACCAAATTTAACATCATAATCTATGATTCTATATTAATTTATTTTCAATATTTAATGTTCTATTGTATTCTTTATTAATTCATTTAATGTACACCATTTTACTGAAGAAACAGAAACCATTAACTTTAGTATAGTGAAAAGTATTTGAATTTTAAATGAAAACAGGCAACATAGGATTAAAAAAGCAAATTGATGTCATACACATTACACATGCAATCACCTTAAAAAACGAACAAAACGTCATTCCGCAAACCACTAATGATGTCAAACATTCAAACATATTTTTATACTAGTAAACTATATGATGGATATTTTTTGAACCTTGAGCAAAAGTTCCAATTTGATTGAACACACTACGATCTTCTTCGGCTTCACGCAGTCTATCTTTTTCTAAATTTTCAACAATTTCATTACGCCTTTCAACAACTTCAACCAATCTATTGAAAAAAAATTAAATATTTTAAAAATAGTTTGGTTTTTTTTATACTTTTTTCATAGTAAACACAAACCTTCGGATAAGTTCTTCTTCTCGTGCTTTTTCTGTATCTGTTTTGGTGTGGTCAGGCTTAGACATTAATACACGTATTTGATATTCTAATTCAGCATGCTCTTCTTCAAAGTTATGTTGTTTTCGTCTAAAAATAATTTTTTGTTAGAAAGTTACAAGGCTATTATTTTATTATACACATACAGATACATAAGTTCAGCATGTTTTCTAAACAATTCATTTTTTTCATTAACTAATTCAAACAACTGTAACACCATTTCTTCCACATCAACATTGTTCAAATCTAAAATAGAATATAAAAAAATAATAAATGTATACAACAGATTATATACATGATATAATTCTTTGTACATACCTTCATTACACTTTAATCTTATATCTTTTTCTAATTTAACTCCTTGTCTTTCAAGCTCTTGCTGTTTTATTTCAATATCCAACAACTCTTGTTTGATATCTTCCATAGGCATAGGTTTAATTCGTCTCCTCTGTGGTATTGGACATTGAGGAGCTGGTCCTTTCTTTCGTTTCCATTTCCCATGTGTGCTCTTGTGTAATCTGTATCTTTCCTGATTAGTGGTTGAGGATAGTTCACTTCCACTACAACTGGAGTCTTCTAAACTGTTAGGAGACGAAATCTGCATATTATTTGAGTATTCAATGTTTCCAAGAGATAGTCTTGATACTGGAGGTGGCGGAGCTGGTTTTTTTTTTCGAGGAGTATTTGAATAGGAAGATATACTGGAAGCACTACTTTGCTTACGATGGGTTTGGTATCGTGGTTTCAAAACAGGAGACAAAACCGTTCTAAAATAAAAACATATTTATATTAGTTTAATCAGAAATTTTTAAAGTTGTGACATAATAAACATTGTGTCATTGTGTCTGTATAACTAAATAACATTGCAACACAATGAGAATAAATCATACTAAATAATGAAGTTCATGCAACATAATAGAATTATGTATATTATTTAGGTAATTAGTCTTTAAATGTTTAAAATAATTATTAGATAAGAGTTATGAGTGAAACAAAAACCGAGAAATTAATTTAATTCGTGTGATAAATATAATTAACCTTTTAATTATTTGAAAAGCTTTGTTTATAAGAATGATGAGTGCCAATTTATTATAAATAGGTAACAATAACTCTTTATTAAAATTTCAATAAAAAATAAAACATAATACTTTATAAGATAGGTACTATTAAAAATATTAAAAATTTAAAAATAATAAAAACAACAATAACAGTTATAAATATCATCATAAAACTGTTGCATACTAAAATAACTATATATTATTAATAACTACTGTTGTTATGACAAATGAGTTTAAAATCTAAAGTAAGTTCAAAATAATAATATTTATTTATAATTATTTGTTCTTTAAAACTACTTGTTCTTAATAATCAATTTTAACTATAAAATTATGATATAGGTGTCTAATCAAATAAAATTATTACTTCTTATTTACTACTTCTAATTTTTTAGTACAATTATCTGCGTGTAACTTATAAAATATAATTTAATCATCGATTTATAATACTAATCCTACAATAATACGATTAAAATTAATAAAAAATAAAATAAAATGTAATATGTATTATTCATCGTAAATAATGTTAATCGAATGGAAATTATGAAAATAACTTAAAAAATTATCATTTCATTCAAATTAAAATTTAAAGCAGAGATCAGTTAGGTAACATAAAAATAATTAATAAAATTTAACATGAGAATTCTTACCTAGGTTTTGGCAATGGGGGCTGAGAAACAGGCTCGTTATCATCTTCATCACTCGAAAACGGATTCAAACTAACATTGTTCTTAACTGAAAGTTCTTCGTCTTCTAAATCGGACCCGAACGGGTTCGTGCTATCATTCTTGTTTCTGTTATCATCGTCGTCTTCGTCGTCGAAAGGATTTAAATTTTCGGGGTAATTTATTTTTATCGGAGATTTAATTCTTTTTCTAGGACTAGGAACCGGTACCTCTTTATTACTCTCGTAATAATCCATTTTAAGCAACTTATTGGATAGGGTTTTTATTTCATAATCCTCCGGGGATTCTAGCTGTTCCTCGGCTGGGGCTTTAGTAGCCGGAGGAAGTTCGAGGACTTGTTTCAGATCATCCGATATCGGCGGGATCTGAACGTGATTCAGTGAATCGGCTGCGGTTTCGTCATCGAGTCGATTCGAATCGTCCAGCAACGGCGGAAGAGGTGATGACACGACGGGCGGACTGACGTCGGGCAGTGGGTCGGATACGACAACAGCAGTAGCAGCGTCCGTCACTCGGTCCTCGGCCGACGGCGCTGATCCTCCACTATCCTCGTCGGCGACCTCTGCCACCACGTCCGAAAGAGTTTCGCGACTTCCTGTGACGCTTACCGAGGTCTTTGTGTCGCTCGACTCTTTCTTGTCGCTAACTACCACTACGCCACTGTCGTTATCGTCGCTGCACGTGACGGCAGTAGTAGTGGTCGTCAAAGGATCGGCCATTTTGAGTGTGACCGGCCGCTGCGCCTTTTTCGACGCTTTCACGTCGTCTGTACAATCTGCAGCGGCCAGCGTTTCGAACAGCGCCCGACGGTCACCAACCAACGACGACGGCTGCGGCTGAGACGTCGTCGTAGCCGTCGCCAACGAAACGGTCGGCGACACCGTCCGCTCTTCGTCCGGGCACGTTTCGCAGCAGTACTTGCCGTCCTGCGTCTCGTAGTAGTTGGCTACGCTCAGCAGGGCGGAGCACCGGGCGCACTTGAAACACGTCCGGTGGAATAGGTGGCCAGAGATGAGCAGACGTTGGGCTAAGAACACGGACTGGTTGCACACTCTACAACCGCCAACGCCTGCGCCCAACTGAAACAGACGCAAAACAGATATAGCGCACTTACTGGAATAACAATAACGTATGGGTTACAGAAGGACTACAGTGCTGCGATAGATAAATAGTTAGTGAGATACATTATTTTATTTTTAAATTATACATAGAAAACTTAGATATTCTCATAAAACTATAGGTACAGATTAATAACACTTGCTTTATGTTTACTTAATTTAGTCATGTATATAGTTATAGACCATGCATTGCAAATTAAACGTGTGCTAGGAACAATACTTATCATAAAACATTTTAATCATTTCAGAACGCTCTACCATCCAAAATCAGCCTAAACTAAATAATAAAAAATTATAATATAAATCGCATCAAACCTAAATCAAAACAAACAATTATATTTTGACAAGAAATTTGATCAAAATTTAACTTTTGAAACTAATAACGAAATAAATCATGATGTATTCTAAAATAAGTTAATAGTTAGTGTATACATATTAAAAACATAAAAATAGTTATAAATATACGTATTAGTATTACATGTTTTATAGAATGGCATAAAAAGCTTAAAATATGAAATACTAGGTAGTAGATATAATTAAGGTACTACTAAAAATAATACAAGTATTATAATATATTAGTATATTACAACGAACTTAATGTTCTTAATTAATAATAGAATCACAAGGAAAACTTACTTTTCACCATAGTAACATTTTAACTCTCGACGTGATTAAACATAATGTATTTTAAAATATAATAAAATTCAAATAAGTAATATCAAATCTAAAGAGTATTTTATATCAATGTATATTAACAAAGAATTTTGAACCTATAACTATGACAAAAAATATTATATTAAAAATAACTACAAAATGTAAACGAGTAATCACTGACACATGAAACACTGATGACCTTAATTCTAAATATTTCGTTATATAGATAAATTTATTATTTCCTTTAATTAGTTGATAAATAATTAAGCTATTTAAAAAATTTATTTAAAACAAAAACTTTCTGTGGTAGTAACCTATATAGGTGAGATTATAAATTAAAATCAGCAACTGTTAAGGTCAAAACTTAACCACAAGAAACGATAAACCGCAGTAAATGACATTAGAAACAGTTATAAATTAATAATTAAGTACCAAACTATAAATAAAAATATCTAAAACACCATTGGCTATGTGTATTCACTATTCTCTAGACATAGACGACAACAGTAGGTATTAAATTTGATTTTTCAACAATTGTAGCCAATATCAATTAATTAAATAATATTTTTTGAATTAATCTAATAATCAAATAATATTTTTGGTTAACTTATTGACTTTTGGTTAATATTTGTTAATAAATGGTATGACTTGTTATAAAAACACGTTGACTTTTACCTATGAGTCATTTTAGAATCGGAACTGGGTGTGAAATCACCACGCCTTGTTTGCTATTGTATTGTTTTTCTTTATACACGAACCTTATTTATTATTTCAAATTGACATAATATGCTAAATGATGAAGATTGCATTTGAATATAATATATGGATAAGTAATAATGATATTACAATTCTATGATACAATTTTTCAAACGTGTAAGAAGTTTTAAAATTTAAAAATAATATATGCTTATCGAGTATTATAAACTTAATATTCGCTAAGATTCACTCGAATACAAAGAACTCTTTTTTAAGTTTAAATGTGATTTATTCTTTAAACGTAAAATGTACAGGTCCCAAACTTAATTTCTTTGAAATATCACTTAAAAATACGTACAAAATATCTAATATTTTTATAAACATTAATAAACAACAAAATAGAATATCTTAGAATTAATTTTACAATTAATTAAAAAAATTTCAAACAATAATTATTTTATTATAAAACATACTAATAAAATTTACTTCTCACCCGTAAATGTTTTAATGTCTGTTGGTTATTCGGTCTACACAGATCTAAATGTCTGTAAGCCAATATTTGTTAATTTTTTAATATTTAATACGTCAGATTGTATTATGTTTTGTAAGTACCTTTTTACTTATATTTACTATTATTGTTATCTTTTTTTCCTTTGTTCAATAGGCACTGTTAAAATTATTATCTTTATTATAAATACAATTTTTCTTTACAAATAAATTAAAAACTATTGAATAATAAATATGAACATTAAATATGAGTAAAATGCAATACATAAATTATTTTGTCTAGTATTTTTCATGCGATTAAATTATAAACTTTAGAATACAATAATATTTCAACAGAATATTTCTTTCAAGTTTCAATTACTTTTTCAGATTTATAATCGTCAATAGTTATGGATTAATATTATAAATGATTATGGAATATTGATAACAATATACATACCTAACTGAGAAACCAATGAAATGCATACAAACACAAATAAACTTTTAGAAATTGAATATCTCTTCTGAACTATCCAACTCAAATCACTTAAACTTCATAAACATTTAAAAGAACTAATTATTATTTATTCATTATTATTATAAAATAATATAAATAGATACCTCTATAAATTTAAATGAAAACAAAAATAATAAATAAATGTATCAAGTGGAATAAATTATATAACTATCAAATCAATACTTTGAAATAAGAAAATTGTAAGAAATGGTTGAGCATTCTTTACTACTGTATACAGTGAATTAAATTGTGATAACTACACAACTAATTATACATTTTAAACGTTTCCAATAATTAACTAACTTATCAAACTTAATTCTTTGTAGTTAAAAATTATAAAATTCAAAATAATTAAAATATTAATAGTATAAAAAATAATTTTTTTTAAAACCTGCATTGTAGATAGAATACTGACTAATGAAACAAGATCACTCTATGTAGTAGGAAGCATACATCTAACACTGTTCTCGACTGCGCAAGCCAATATTATTTAATCATTAATATATTTGAGTATAATAAAATAAACACGTCATTATAAAAAAGCGGGCAAGTGAGTACCGCTCTGTTGTACATTAGGGGGTGGGGCGGACCTCGGACTAGGGTAGATTAAATCTGAATGCAATGATAAGTATCATTGTATACGAAAAACGATTCTGAACGGAGATGATTTGTCAGTCTAGGATATATTATATTTAAATATTGTCATAAATTCAATTTAAAACAAATATTTTATTTTTCAATTAGGACGCATTTGCAAAAGTTATGGTTAATCAATTTTTCCAAAAACCTTGCATGTAATTATCATAATTCATAATACTTTAATATATTATCATAGATATACCTGGTATACCAAAAGAATGATTATAGATATCCTTATTACACAAAAAGAAATACCATAATATCACAGAACAATATAATTTATCTAGTTCGTAACCACAATAATCATCTCGTATAATATATATAGGTATATACATTTTATTATTTTACTGTAGGATTATTATATATATTATAATCTGTGGTATAATAAATGTGAAAATTTTAAATTTTAAAATTTCCGTGGTTTATGTTTTAATCACTTGAATACGCCAAAATGTAATTCTTTTATAATTATTTTAAGCTAAATTTATGGAAAATCTTGTATTAAATTTTCAACTCTTAGCGCTACTTATCAAAAAATTTTATGAATTATACCTACAAAATTGTTTGCAAATATTCATGGTTTTGACGAATTTTTGTCAATATTTGAACTTCAAATGCTAATAAAAAAAAATTGTGCCTATGAATTCTTAAAATTTTTTGATCACTATAAGAATAACTTATGAGGAACTTTGTATTAAATTTTCAAGTATTTTGATTGGGCCAAAAAAATTTTATCGACACTTCAAAAAAAAAATTTTCAGAAAAATTGAAAATTTCAGTTGTCTATAAATAGCTCAAAAAAAGTCAAAATATTTTGAAAATTAAATCTTGTAAAGAAAATGCCAATCTAAATAACTGATAAAATTTTCAAGTATCTACGACTTATACTTTTTGAATATTAACAAATATTTAAAATCGTTATCGTTACGCTATTTCGTAAAAATTTAAAATTCAAAAGCACTTAAAATTTTTCCTATAATAATGATTTGAGTTTTTATTATAGCTACTTGAAGGAAAACTTAGGGAAAACATAATGTAGTATTTTTAATCCTTAGTTATAAACACAAAAAATGTTATGATTTTTCAACTTCAAAATTACTTACAAATTTTCGCGTTTTCGATAGATTTCGTAAATATTTGAACTATAAACGTTTATAAAAAAAATTGTGACTAACGATTTTTAATTTTTTTTTTTAGCTACAATAAGAAACAACTTATAAGGAACCTTGTATTAAATTTTCAAAATTTTTTGGTCATCCAACATTTTTTTATCGACACTTCAAAAAAATATTCTCATAAAAGTCGATAATTTCAGTGGTTTATAAATAACTCAAAAAAAGGCAAAATTTTTTTGAAAATTAAACTGTATATAGATAACACTAACATAAACATTTGGTGAAAATTTCAAGTGTTTACAGTGATTAGTTTTTGAATTACAACCATATAAAAAAAATCGATTTGGTCAAAAACTGGTTTTGCGTAAAAATTCCCGTTTTTCCGTCATTTTTTTTTTTTGTTTTTCTTGATTTTTTTGAAAACTCTTGGAAAATGTTTACTTTTTAACTCTATAATGCACCAAGGATATTGCCATCGGAAACCACCCTCCCAAGTTTGAAATTGAAGCATTATTTCGACTACTTATGCTGTACACAGACACACAAAAAATAAAAATCATACATCATTGTAAAATCAATACATTCATCACTCCGTTCAGAATATAAAATATTCCGATCTGAGATTAGATTTAATAAACAATAATTTAATTTAAAAAAATATTTAATTTATCATTAATTTTTCTGTTGAAGCTATCATCAAAATTTACTTAAGCAAATCTACACATGCAGTTTAAAATCAATAAAAACTTTCACCACACAACCCAAAGCATAATTTAATTTTAAAATTATATATATTATACATACATACATACATATAATATATATATATATATATATATATATATATATATATATATATATATATACATGTATATATTTTACCTTCTAGCAGTAGATCTCAGGCTTATAAGACCCCATAAGATCCAAGCTGTCCTCCTGGACAATAAAAATAAATAAATATAAAAATAACGATCTGTTTGGGTTATGTATAAATAATAAAATTAAAATATAGTACATTTTGACGTAATAAATTATTAACACTATGCATCCAAACTTTATAAAAAAATAAATAATAAAAAATCATAAAAATAATAAATTTAAAGCTTATTATTCTCACGAATATTAAGAACACATCAAAAATGAAAATAATATATACACAGATAACCATAATAATGTACCAGAAAAATAAAGTAACAAATTTAAATTAATTTACGTTTGAAACTAAATGCTTAAAATATTTTTTAACTAACATTTATAACTACAATTTATTACGTCAGAAAAATGAAAAAATACATAAAGAAATATTTTATTTCTGATTTAAGTTACGAATATAACTCTTGAAACACATTTAACTTTTTAATTCTTAAGTTACATAAAAATTAAATAAAACATATGTATTAATCACGTTTTGTTAAAAAAATTTTCAATCATACAGAGTGATTCATTTATCAAACATAACTCATTATTTTAAATCTATTACCGTTTTTGATTTTTTTTTTTTTTTTTATATATATATATATAATTTTGAATCAATAGAAAAATACATACATGTTTTTTTTTAAACTTTTTTAAATGACAACGTACATTTTTAATTTCATATTCTAAAACAGAATACATTTTGAATAATTTCAATAAATAAAATCAAAATTAGGACAATTAGTTTATGAGTCATAATTATTTAAATTTAAGTGAGCAAAATAATAGACCAACATTTTGCAGTGTATACTCATACATCACTCAACTTCTATAAACTTTAAATACTTATAAGTTATAACTCAAAAACTACTCATTTGAATTTAGATTTGTATAAATCGAAATACTCAAAAAAAATATTCTACTTCAAAATGAAAAAATGAAAAATATATGTTAATTATTTAAAAAAGTAAAAAATTATAACGAAAAAAAAATTTTCAAAAACGTTAGGTAATAGATTTTAAAATAATTAATATTATTTGATAAAAGAATTACTCAGTATTATATTTATAACAACTTCATTCTTTGGTAAATATATCATGGTTTTATATTTTGTTTTTAAAATTGAACCGTAGGTATTATTAATATCTAAACAAAAACTGGCAGACTAAGTTTAATACCTTAATAATAACCTTAATCTGCCTTCTTTTAAATATTATGAAAATTAAACTACTATATTTAACCCACCTACTCAAATGGTTTGTAAAAAAAGTTGCCTAAAAATAAACCATAAAATGAGTGAGCAACTTCAATTTTTTTAAACATATATGTTTAGATCTAAATAATGAATTTTTATATAGTTAACGGTATATTTCATAAACAAGAATTTAAAAAATTAAATTCAGTCATTTATTTTTTCCGAAAATTTATTTTAGTCAAACAATATAAATCATAATTAACAATAAAAGTATTCTAGAAATGTTCTATCGTAAGATAATATGCCGGGTATTTTAATTATTTTACTTAAAATATATAGATATTATAAATTACTTATGTTTTAAATAAAAATATAGGAAAATGTATAAAAATTAATTTTTTTAAATAATAAAGTATAATAAATTACAAAAGTTGTATACTTTATTCTATGTAATATAAAAAAAAATTTAAAAACGCACAAACACAGGGTGGTATTATCAGCCGTATTCAATTATACCAGATTTGAAAAAAACAATCCGCAAAATTAAAAATAAAATTTTTACTCTAATAATGGCAAAAGCTAATAATTAATATTATTCAACACATTTATTAAATATATATAGTATTAAATAGTTATTCTATTAAAAACATTACGAAATAAAATAAAAGTGTTCACCTTTGTTGGAGCATTTTGACCGGATCCTGTATTAGTTCTGGGCCGTTCAACTGTGGTCGGCGATTCAGGTGATGTTTTAACAGGCGTCGTAGCTATATATAAAATAAAATACATTAATAATGAGAAGACACACAAACGAAATCATAATCAAAACTGAAAGACGATGTCAAAGAAACTAGCTTCAGTAGGCAGTATAGTGCTACTATAGCAGGCAAGAGCGAGTGTTGTGCGGGGCGGGCATAATAATGAATTAAGACGCGTGGAAGTCAAACTAAGTTAGAAAAGTACATTTTATTATTCTGCGAGCACAACATATCATAATTGGTTACATCCTGGATTTGCCAATGAAAGATTAGCACTGTTATATATGACTAATAGACATTGACTATGAATCAATTAAATTCTAATTTTCTTGACAGTTTAACCCAGAGTTTAACCAAGACACTACTACCAAGTCGAATAAGTAACGAAGAATCACACAATGTCTAAACAAGAAAGAAATAGGTAGATATTAACTCATTTACTTAGCCACTTGTATTAATGAACATCACAACAGTATGGATGACAAACAAACATAATTAAAAATACTTTAGAACTTAATTAAATTAAATAAATTTTTGTATTATATAATTAAAGCACTTAAATTGTTTTGTAAATCTATTCTGTAATTTTTCTTACTATATTAATTCGTTATTAGAAATAATAAATTAAATATAAATATAAAGTTAACATTTTAAGAAGAAATAATAATGTAAGTAATGTATGAATATTAATGTTAAAATGTATTAAATATTTCACTGTAAAGACTAGAGCCTAGAAAGATATTTTAATAGTGAGGTGTTTATACATTCAATTTAATATCATTTTAACTATTTACACCGTCAAATGTTTGTTAATAATGTGTACTAAATAATGCATGCATTATATAATATTAAATGTATACAGTATATACATAGATTTGATCATAAAAACATTAAGTCATAAAATAATTGAAATAAATTTAAAAATATTAGTCATATTTTATTATTATCGCTACTTTTAATAATAAAATAATATTACGTATAAATTCTTTCAAAAATCAAACTATAATCGAATTTAATAAAATATACTTAATATTTTTCACCTATCTTTATATGTCATAAATGTTTCTAGATAACATTTCGTATGAATAAGGCAATAAAACAATCTTAAAAGTGAATACTTAAAACATGTCACTGTTTACGAACTTTGTAAAAAATATCATAACAAATGTAAAATTATTAAAAGAAAAAAAAAGTGAAAGCCAAAAAATAAACAATGCGTCAAACTTACAATAATAAGTACTAAATACTATTAAACGTGATCTTCATTTTGCTTTATATTATGAATGAAATAACAATAAATACTATTCATATTACGAAATGCGTGGTGATAATAATTGTATGGCATAAATTTACAATCATTTAGAGCTCACAAAACTTTTTAAATACATTTATTTTTTTTTTAGGTCATTCACACAGTAGTTGCAAATCGGTAGTAGTAGAATTAAAGAAAACAGTGGTAGTAGTAACAGCAATATGTAATATAAACTGTTTGACTATTTAACTCCATGTAACGAACACGAGTACGAATTAAATCTACAGACTGGTGGTCAAGAGGTTAAACATTGAAAAAACAACCTCATACAAGGGTCAAATTATCAAAACGACTTACGGAACCAAAAATGAAGAGAATGTTTATCGTCTATTTTTTCTAATCGGTTAGTATAATGAATTGGAATGTAGCCAAAATTCAAATTTTGAAGTCACGGTTCGATGTTTTACCAAAACCTGTTTTCTTACAAAAGAACATTGGTTAGGTGATCTGCGTTAGGGCCGTATCAGGCAACGTTAGTTTTGCACAATTGTGTATACTGTATAGAAAACAACGGATGTTTATCTTGTGTAATCTTCAGAGCCATGTAACATAATATGTTGATTATATTTTGTCTAGTGCATTAATTTTGAGATATTATGCCAAAGCAATTGCAATTATTGTGGAAATGTATGGAAAGGGCAAATCTAAAATCACTATCAGTGAAAGTTTCTCATTGGGATCAACGCGCACATGTGACCTTAATAAATTATAAACAGTGTTGCGAGAACCGGTTTTCATGTCTCTATCACACTCGATGTCTTTCTCCTATTATATGTCGAGTTGCCAAACGGCACTGCTAAGTTAATCAGCACTGTATACGTACTGGCCTAATTGTAGAAACGCTTTTAACTCCGCCTATAAAACTGCGGTACATGATTTTTCAAAGGTTGCGGCTACTGACCCAGTGAAGATCACGATCAATTACAACATATTCGTAGATCTAATCAAGGTCTGAATATAATTAATTAATATTTTGGAATAATTTACACTATTTAACTAAAAACTATTAAGTTAAATAATTGTAACTGCCAACAGTAAATAAATATTACTATACCTTCATGAAATACTTGAAAAACATACTTAAACAAATTAAATATACATTTATATTATGTATATAATTTGGTTAGTATATCTACTACTATATCATTATTAAAAATGTAATAAAAAACTAATTTGTAAGCAATATTTGGATTAAACAGACATTACAACAATAAAATGTATATATATACAATAATGCATTCTAGGTTGAAAATAAAAATTTAACTTAAAATATTCAATATTATATTTTATTGTAAGAAAATAAACAATAAATATTCATAGACAATTTTTATCATATTCACTTTTAATCATATCGTAAAAAAAGGAATAAATAATTAAATATTTAAGTATAAGATTATTATACATATTTTTAATTTTACTCAATCTTTAAGGGGTAATTTTACCAGTTTATAATAACTACTAATAGGTTTTATACCTCATTGGTGGTCTTTTATAGGCTTTTCCATTAGACCAAGTTGATCACACGCACCCAATATAAACAGGTTTCCTACCACCATTTCCGGCAAGCAAAAAATACGTGCATGCATGCACCGCCTTCAAATTATCATCCTGTGTAGAAGAGTCTACTTAAGAAAATTATCAGGACAAAATCACATAGTCACGACTTGATTTTATTTTTTTTTTCTTATATATTCATAGTACATGTCCAGTAGTAGAAAAACTATTGGCAATTTGGGAAAGATTATGTAAATACATTTTACATAATTACATATCATTATGTAGGCAATACTCGTTTCTCAAAATAGTTTTAAAAACTACAAAACTCAAACAATTATTAAAATAAACTATTGTATCAAACAAATTTATTTAAAAAAAAAAATAGTAAATGTGAAACGAATTGTGTGACTAGTTTTATTAAAATAAAATTATAAGCCTAATAATAAAATGAAATCAAATATTACAAAAATATGTCTGAAATGTTTAAATATCAATACCAAAAAATTATACGAAAATAAAAGTTTTATACACGTATTATTATTGTTATTAACATTAAGTATCATGCTATTAATTAATTAAACTAAAATATCATAGAAAAAACAATAAAAAAATATCAGTTTATTAATTACCTTGTGATGAGAAAGTTTGATAGAACTGTGATAGGTAAGTTAATATCGATAACCTATCAGGTATTTCGACGCAAACCATGTCTTCTGGATCTAAAAGTGCAGGAATCCCCAGGTGATTTTCAGCAACTCGAAAAGCTAACTCATTGTTACCGTAAATATCATTTTTGTCCAAACTATTGTAATCACTGAAAAAACATATATTATTAATAAACATTTTATAAAATTTTATTTTTTTCCCTTTTTAAGAACACGAAAATTCTAAGTATTAAATAGAATGGTATTTTTCCACGGTCATGATTTTCTGTAATATGCGCGCTTTATTTTCTATGTATTAAAAAATTATTTTTCCTTAGGCAATTTTCTTTTTCTACTTATTTCAAACATAAACCTCCCTGATGTTTTTGTTATGTTACATGCGTGTTTTATTGTTATTATATTTTTAGTTATTATTTAATAGAAGATGAGAAAAATACTCATTTCATGGGCATGAAAAATATGCTACAATAACCGAAGCGAATTAAGGATTTGAAATATATATACACTATATATACAAATTATACGTGATATTGAAGATAAGCGACCTTGACTTCATCTTAACATATAAAGATAGTAAAAATATTGCAAGCTCTATACTAAACTAGAGAAAGGTTATTAATCTTTATATATTGTATATATATCGAGGTATATATAAAAAAAAAATGCAGAATTAAAATACGATGATCTTTCTATTATGCTTTCTAATTTTAAATATATTAACAACTAACAAGTCTGTTGTTACATTTGGAATATATATACATTAAAATAGTTTTTTTACTATAATTATTATTTAAAAATATGTATATTACATCTACAATACAACTGCATTTAATTACCACAAATATACATGACGTAAGCTAGGTAAATCCTATTGTATAAAAAATTGAACTAAAGAATATTATGTTTTACCAGTAACACGAGTAAAACATCCATTATTTTAGAAGATTTCTGAATGTAAGCAGTATTCATTTGATTTTTTTTTTTTTTTTTTTTGTGCATAAACAATAATTGAACAAAGCATAACTATAAATAATTAAAAAGATAAAATATATTTTAAGTTACAATCAACATTTTTCAGCTAATTTATAACTAGAGCTAGAATTTTGATGACTACCTATTGCATTTTTTTTTCTTTAAGTGCTATACATACAGTTCTAACCAAAACCAAATTTGTTTCGTTATATAACAATTTAGAATGTGTAATTTCTATTTTGCATTTTTTGCATTTTTATGTTAAATGCATTTTATAATATTACGTTAATATTATTTATTTAAACTCGTTTTTATTTATTTTCAACTTTTTTTAATATGTGTTGTATAAAATAGTATAGATAATCCCAATTACTTACTCCAGTCCATTGATACTGAAAAAGTAATATAATTAATTGTCAATTCAAATTTGAATATCATTGTTTAATTTACTTCTTAAAACCAATTTTTACCTATTTTGTGTGGTATAAAAAATGTAAAAATAATAACTATTTTAAAATTAAATTTTTTTCGCTCATCTAGGTACATTTTTTTGTTATTTTTTAAATTCATTTTTTTAGTGAAATTTTATGTTTTTTAAATCATTAAAATTTTAGCTCTGTTAATAACTAACTAACATTGTTACGTAGTATAAAAACTTTTGAATTTTATTGAGGTAGTTCTACGTTATAAACTCTATATAAAAATAAAATTACATGTAAAAGTATAACATAAAATGTAAAAAAAAAATAGTAAAATTATAAATTAATAATGTTTAATTTTAAAATATCAAAATACTTACATCAAATCAGGTCTAAAATGATGAATAAGAGCGCAAAATGCAAGTCCGTCTTTCCACGAAGTAGACATATTTTCAATAGACACTCCATCATATCCTTGAGTCACTCGCTTACACCATAGTTCTAATGCTTTAGTACCACGTCTTTCTCCCATTTTATTTGTTTTAAAAACTGAAATAATATACGCAAAATATAATTAAATAAATAATTAAATATTTAAATAACATTTTGGGGATATCTAGTATGTAAATATAATGTAAGTAGGAAAGAGGTTTATAAATGTTTTTAATGTTTTTATCGTTTTAAACATTTAAAGAAAAAAACTAAATTTACAGCAATTATTATTATACTCAATAAACATAAAATTGTTCAATATTTTAAGCATTCGATAATAAAAAATATATTTTTAAATAAATATTTGTCCTATATAACCAAGAAAAGAAGCAAATTGTTATTCATACGTATATTCAAAACAGTAATCTGATATCGAGAAGTAAATAAACTTATACTTCAATTATTCTATGACCACAAAAAAAAGAACTTCAACAGCTTTAAACTCAATTTTTTTCTTAAGTTTGATTAAAATTAATTTGATTAACTATAGGATATATTTAACTTAAGCAACAAATTTCCGATGTTAATTAAAAATAAACAAATAATATAAGAACTCAAAATTATACAACCTAACATATTGTAATATAATGTTGAAAAATAATTGATTTTAATCAACTTATAATGTGATAATATGTGGCATAAAGCTAAAAAAATACAAATTAAAGTTTTCTCTTAAATATATTAGAATTAAGCTTGTATAACATTATAAAAATTAACTACGTATACTATGTCCAGCTTAAAAAATAGACGATATATACTGTATAATATACAGTGTATATACTATATAGTATATAATAGCTCATTAACAATTTTTCGTTTTTTTTTTTCCAACGGTACCTGATTATTATGTGAATATAATAGATATAAAACGTTTGTTCTCTTGCGGTCAATACACACATATGTGAAGTGTATAGCGTCTAGATTATATTGTTGTGAATCTTGCCGGACTTATTATATTTTTTTGTCGAACCCGTTTGACGACACAATGAAACTATACCCGCTTGTTACATAACGGATTATTATTTTATTTTTTTTGATTTAAAAAAGTATGTATGTATCTTAAAACACTGATATTGTAGAATTTTTTATGTTAATAGGCAGCAGATAAAAATGTAGAGGTCGATAACATTAACAAATGTTTATAGTCGTCAAGTATAATTACATAGATATATTGTAACCTATATTATAATAGGTACATTTTGTAATGATGTGCTCTAAGCAATCATAGTTAAATATTTATATAATAAAATTATGACCTTTAACTATAAGTATTTTATCAATATGACAAATATCAAATATTTAATAACTTTTAGCTATAAGTCATCTATTAAGATAATAATGTAAAATAATAAAATGACCTATAGTCAGACAAAACACACACACAAGACACACTATATAAGAGGGCCGGTCACCTACGGTCAAGGCGGAGTGCTCTTCCAGTCTTTTTGTATAAATGATCACAAGCGAGTGTAAAAGACTACGCAGATCAGATATACAAAAAGGCGTGTTAGTGTTAAAATAAATTTTATATTTATGTTAAAGTTAAATCTATTAAATAGTGTTAAAGAAAAACTATAATAAAGATAATAAGTGTATTTAAGTGAAAAAAGTCTTACATTTATTCAACGTGCACTGGTCACCTTATTCCACATTCAGAAAGAAGTCATTGCCAAGAGAAGAAAGGTAATGTAATGATTTTATGATTGATCTAAAGGTGTATAATTAATAATCTCTGATAAATATTACCCCTTTACTACAACCTTTTTTAAATCATTACAATTTACTATAAAAAATTTAACAATTTATGAACAAAAATTAAGTTACAATATAAATTTTAAAGATACATAAAAACACGTCAATTATTTGATTAAAAATGTTTCTAATTCATAGAATTTATACGTACTCGTATATAAACTGATAAATTATTATCTGTGCAATAAATTTTCTATTAATTAGTAATAGAATAAATGATATCAAAAACTCATTAATTTATTTTTATTTTTTTTTTGAATTGTTTTCAAAAAATTGAGAAAAATAAATTAACAACGATAAAACTTATAGAAAACAAGTGCAATCTAATTTTGTAGTTTTTTGATAATTCAGGAAATAACGAGTAAAAACTAATATTTTTATTGGTTGTTTGTTTTATTATTTAAGCACAGTTGTCAATATACTAGGAATATTTTATTGACCCTATAAACAATATTATGTTTACATAAACTAATATCCAAAACGTGTTATGTGTATGATTTATTTTGTTTACGAGGTTTTTAAATATCCTATGTCTAATAAGTTAAATAAGCTATAGATTTATTTTCTATTCTAATAATGTAAAACAGAATATTATGAATTTGATAAGGCAATATAACAAACTAAGTATTGGTCATGTTTCATTTTATATTCATATGTTACAGTTACGAACGTAGATAATCTATAGATTGTTCTTTTGCTCAAAAACCACATATGGTTTTCATACTTAAGAAACAACATTGCTGTAAATATATATGTAAACCTATATAGTAAAAATATCTTGCACATAATCTTTGTACCCTAACAACTTTTTAATTTATGGGGCATATTAAGTAAAATAATGAATAAAATTAAGGTTTATTTCTTTTTAAATAAACTATCAGATAAAATAGATTGATTATAAATTAACGTCTCCAAAAATTGAATTCAAACGCAAATTTTTTTACAAGGCTATATTTCTACAAGTTACCTTATACGGATTTAACGGATATCAGGTTAAGTCCTTGGATCTACTAAATATGGATAAATATAAATGAAAATAAGGTAAAGAAACTCATCTTGGTTATATTTTTATTCTGATTCTTTAATATCTGTTTCCATTAAATACGTACTAAATATTTATTCTTAACATAATACAATGTACCTATACCATCATGTTATACTGTTAAACACCGGTAGGAAATAAGAAACTATTGAAACAAACAATTATTGTAACTATTTACTATGGCAAATTATATTAGAAATAATAAAGTATATCTATTATTCAAAAGTTCAACACAAAATATAAAATAGTACTTATATTATATAAAACATATACACAAAACTTTTCGTAAAATAACATGCAAAATTAAATCGTATGATATAATTTGAATACAATTGTACATTTTTTTAAATAACTATAAAATTACTTTTGAAACTCAGTTAATTATAAAACGTATTGCACACTTATGATTATTTACTCATTAAACAATTTTCGTCAATTAACATTTTAAAATTGATATCTACCAATATAATGATAAGAATATCAAAAATGAATTTAAAAATGAATAGTAAAAATTGTTTTTGTAAATATTTTGAAATTGTATACATATAATTTAAAAAAAAAAATGTTTTTCTTTATTATTTTTACATAAACAACTATCCTGGTTAATTAGTACACTATAAGTACAAGTTGCACGCAAGAAATTGCTAGTGTAACTACAGAGAAAACATGTATGTATCAAGATCACAAAAACGACCGGTTCCGAATGCATATATTATGATAGACGACTAGTTAACGGTTTAAAATAATGCGACTTTCCAGATGATGGCCAATTACTTTGATTTTGCATGGCATATACATAGGATATAATATTTACAACTGTTTATACTTTATAGCACATAAACACTTCCAGTTTTGCTATAGAAATTTTAACTCTACAAATATTAAAAATAATATCATGACATTTATAATATAACTATATTTTTATAAATAAAAAAATAAACATGGTATACAATATAATACATATTAACACTAAAGAATATAGCCAATACTTTAAATTATGATTGTTTGAAAATCAAAATTAGATTTTAAATATATTAAATGTTTATTATTTGTGTTATTTACTTAAACACGTATGAATTATGAATGGTACGAAAAAATTAAATAGGTAATTATAATAATGCAATGGTAAAGATAGTAATTACATATTTTATTATTAACTTTATAATGTTACTAATATTTTGAGAAAATTTAAATAAATGTAGCGCACATGGACTGATAGTCGAATTGGAGTTTTTACAAAAAAAAAAAATAAAGTAATGCAAATATATATTTCATTATATTCTTAAAAAAATATTTTCAATTAAATATTTTACAAACCTATTGCTTAACTATCGTTATTTAACGAAATATTTAAAAAAAAAAATTATAAAATTTAAAATTTAATCTAATAATGTTTTTAAAGATAATAAATTACTAAAATACCTACTTTATTTAAATTTAGGTAATCAAAACATATACATAAAAAATATATATTTATTATAACACAATCTTATAAATTATAAATTTTAAATTAGAACTATATTAACAATTGAACCATATACCCATAAGTATATATACGAGTATGACTTAATACTTAACCTAACTATAATAAACGTATTAGTTGTCTTTAATATGGACATAAAGTAAGAAAAAAATCTAACGATTATTTTGACAATTCTACGCACGTTATTTTGTTTTTAGAATACAAACGACAAAACATTGGGTGCATAATAATAAGTATAAAAGACATGGGTATGATTTTATTAAAATATATACAAATTCAACAATGAACTATTAATGGTGATGGGGTTAAGTCTTACTAAATCGAACAACTTAGGTACAAATTATTTATCGAAAGAATAGTATGATAGGTACGTGTATAGAAATTTTAATCAATTTCAAGACATATATCAGACTAGCTATCTCCATGCACTTCATTGCCCGTATAAATTACTAAGCGCATCCATGTTAAATTTGGTTGCCTAGTTAACATTTACCATAACGAGTGTGGATAAATAATATTTTTAGTTTTATGATTTGATGTACAATTGATATTTCCGACATACCAACTTTATATAGGTAGCTGTCCTGCACTGCGTTTCTTTTTTACCATTTAACAACAGAATTTTTTTTTAAATTTTTCTTTTTTTTTTTTATTGAACGACACAAATTGTATTTTATTTTTTATTCTGGATCAAAAACCAACAACTCGTAAAGTTTTAATAGTGTGAATTATAAACAACAAAAAGTATTGTAAATAATTTTATTATACTACATCAATTAT